CTCAAGCCCATGCAAAGCTAATTACACAAGTCCTTTCTCTTCTGGGCATCTTGCCAGGCTCTTTTCTCAAGCCCTATGCAAAGCCAATTACACAAGTCCTTTCTCTTCTGGGCATCTTGCCAGGCTCTTTTCTCAAGCCCTATGCAAAGTCAATTACACAAGTCCTTTCTCTTCTGCAGGCTTTTACATCGGTAGATGACACACCTTCCCCCCACTCAAAACGCGATGTCCCCATCGCGCGACCGGTTTTCACTCGGAGGTACGCAGACCTTTGACCCGCCGACTGCAGTCAAGGACAAAAGCCCATCCGCTTCACAAGGGAAGAGTGATCAGTTCGTCCCCAGTGGGTGACACCTCATCCTCCTACTCAGTCGGACCTTTTACTATTACGTGGCGAGCACCAATACTGAGGTTCCTCCTCACTTCTGGCAGGCAGGTTCAATCCAAGCCTCACAGGGCCTCGTTTAGTTGTAAGAGTTTCCCCCGCGAATCATTCCTCCCGAGTGGTAATTTCTCTGGATCCGGCCTCTTCCTTTCAAGAGAGTTGAGGCTCTCTGTTAGTTTGCGAGTGCAGTTACGAAGACCTCGCGGTTAGTCCTGAAACGGTTGTAACGTTTCGGCGAGGCGGTGTCAATGCCTCGTGGTGGTGGCGGACTCCACCCGGTACCTCGCCCGGCCCCTCCCCTGGACAGTGCCGCCCAACTTAATGCGGGCAGCCGAGGTCCGACCCAAACGGCCATGCCACCCCTCTATGGTGTGGCGTATGGTTGGAGAGAGCAAAAAAGACTAGAATAAGAATGACTCTCTCACCCATTTGGTTCTCTCATCCTTTGACGTTAAGGCTCTCCGCATGAGGCGCAATTTGAACTCCCCGACTAGAGCTCATTGTCAGAGTTAGTTCTGGACGGCCAGCACCGATCCAAGGGACGGTGCGTTGATCCGTTAAGACTCATCCCCTTTTGAGAGGAGCGGGTCGCGATGAGACTTTTTCCTTAGAAGGATAGAGGTCTTGGGGTCGCGGTGCAGGCACTAGTATCCCCCTCCTGCTGAGGCCAAAGACTAGAGGAAAAGAAAAATCTTTCTCAATGTCATTTTAATGGTCGGCCCGATAACCTTTCTTCAAAATTGTCTAGGTTCCCCTGACTTATGCAATGCAATATCCAATTCTCATCGCTCAATCCAATGTTGTTTCCATCTCATAGCTGGTTCTCATGGCTGGTCTGACAGCCTCTCATCAATAAGGCCACCCCTCGTGACTGATCTGGTGGTCGCTTCCTCAATAGCTCTTTTCCAAGGCCGACCCGTCGGCCTACTTCCAATCCTCAACCTCCTTTTTTGCAATGTCCAGTCCTTATGACCGTCCCAACGGTCTATGCTCTTGTCATATTCAGGCCCGACCTTCCTTATCCTGCCCTTCTCTTTCCAATGCATCTCTTTTTTCCATTCATCCATCATGGCTATTTCAATGATTGGCCCACCGGACTTTTCCTTCTCACAGTGCTCATTGCATCTTTTTCTCAATCAATATCTCTCAATCAGTTTTTGCAGGGGACCCCAGTACCTATTTCAGAAGAAATGAACCTTGTTAGGGGTCATTTCCGAACAACCTGGTTAGGGTCATTCTTTTCCATTTTCAAGTCGAACAGCCTGGTTAGGGTCATTCTTATCCATTCTCAAGTCGAACAGCCTGGTTAGGGCCGTTCTTATCCACTTACAAGTCGAACAGCCTGGTTAGGGCCGTTCTTATCCATTCACAAGTCGAACAGCGTGGTTAGGGCCATTCTTATCCATTCCAATGTTAGCGCCCGAGGGGGTGGACCTCGAGGACACAGATCCCATTTCTGTCTCAGGGGTTAGAAGGTGGCCATCTTATTGGGTTTTACGCGTGCCTTTTCCTTTGTCTCATGTCAACATCATTCTCATGTCCATGCATACATCCGACTTAGCGTCTAGTGCTCAAGTTGAGGCTCGCAACCCCAAGCAGCACTAGCCCACCCGGTCCTTCAACCATAGCGAAGGGAGTGTGTGCCATCACTGTTTTCTCTCTCTCTGACCTCTCATGCCCTTTGCTGCTGTGAACTTATCGGCGACTGGTTGGGTTAGGCTTCTAGGGAAGAGGATTCTTCATGCCTCTTTACCCATAGGTCCCTTAACCTCTCTCAGAAATTCATGCCCTAACTCATCAGACCAAGCAAGGGGCAATCACCCATTTTACAAGGCACTTTGTCATAACTTTTCCTGAATCTTGACAATCTCTTCCCCTTTCGCTTTCCCCAAAACAGAGTCAACCATTCACAGGTCTTATCTCAATCCCATGGACCCTCAAGTGTTCCAAAGGAGTGAGTACTTATGCGAAGTGGCTTTAACTACTCAGTGTTTTTCAGTTCGTCAAGCAGTCCTGTTGCAGCTTTCTTCTAGAAATTTAAATGCAAAGAAAATGACAATGCCTCCATTTTGTCTTATCCCGATACCCCTTCCCTCTTCGCTTTCCCTGGCCGAAGTCGGCCCCTCATAGCTCTAGTCTCAAGCCCATTGGTCGTTAAGTTCTTTTGGAGAAGCAAGTACTCATACAAAGTAGCACTAGCTATCCGACCCTTAGTTGTTCCTTAAGCCTGAAAGTCATCCCATTGTGGTCTATTTCTAGGAATTCAAATGCAAAAAATCAATACGACAGTTTTGCCTGCCCCAGGTACCCGTCCTTCCCTTTTTATGGCTATTCCCCATTACGTCCATTGTCCCCTTGTTGCTCAGTTGTGTTATGTCGGGTCTGCCTTGCCCGAGCATCCATCTCCCCTTGAATCCTCCTCTTCGTCCTTCGTAGGTCGAGAAGCGCCCCTTCCGTGAAGAAGGTTGTTGGTGCTATGTCTTCCCCCCTGCTCAACTTTTCTTGTGCTTTAACCGCCCACTCATACCGCATGATACTAGTCCATTGGTCAAACCAGTCGCTACAAGATGGCCCAAACTCCTTTATCCATTTATCATTCTCGTCCTCCGGGTCCCCATCCCTTGCCCGTACTTCTTTTGTTGGCCTTGTGACCTCCTCGGTCTCCTCCCCACTGCTGAGGTCTGTGACCTCGTTGGGTTCTTCCTCGCTCGATTCCTGTCTTTTCTCTGGGCTCATATTCTCCCTCTCACTGCTCTCACTTCTAGAGGAAACATATATCACTTCCCCTTCCCTAAGGGGTAAGGGCCCCCTGGTTCCCTGCTTTCTTCCACCCCTTCCTACGACCAAGTTGAAGTCAAACCCACGTATAACTTTCTTTTTTTGGTGCTTGGTTCCCCAACCTGTCTTGTCCCTCGTTCCCCGTTGGGTCTGTTGATGATGTTGTTGTCATTCTCGTTTCCGAACTTCATCTTTATTTTTCTTGTTGTTTTCCTTTTTCCCTGATCTTGTGCATACATAACAAAAACACGGCAACCCCCATACACACACATTCCCTCCCACTCCCATTGCGAATTTACAGACTCACTCCCCAGAACCCTTGCTCGCCCCCATATGATTGGTAGTCCTTTCAGAGTGACGGCGTAGGTGGCGGTCCCATTATCCCACAAACTCTATGGTACATTGTCCCAGCACATAGGTACCCCATATAGGCAGTCCCACAAAAAACTATGATACATTATCCTCGGCTCCCAACCCCGTCCATATTCAACCCACACAGTCACCCTTGTTCCCAAGGAAAAGGAGACGACACAAACAATAACAACCTCTACAATCATTATCATTTCCGTAGAGGGACGGTACAAGATTACAATCCATCTGCGTGCTTTTCAAGTTGTCAATTCCCCTGCTTCCTTGTCCTGAGCTTCCTGCAACCATTGCTTCACCGGGTCCCGGCTCAAAAATTTGACCAACCTCTGTCCCGGGAATGACCCTTTTAACCCAGTACCATCAAGATCCTCAAGCTCAAAGGTGTTCAGCCCCACCCGCTTAGCGACCCGGTAGGGGCCTTTGAATCTCCTTCCCAGTTGTCCTGACCATGTGCTTTCCAATGCCGAATTCCTAACTAGTACCATTTCCCCCACCTGGAGCGACTCCTTCCGGATGTTCTTGACCTGGTCCCACCTTGCTTTGTCCCTCATTCGGCTATCCATCACACGCTTAACAACATCTTGCAAGGCTTCCTCATTTCTAAGGACCTGTTGGCATCGCGCGGTGATTAGTTCCTCTGTAGACATGTGCGAATTGTCGTCTAGCCTGTTCCAGGTAGATACCAATGCTTCCATCGGGAAATCAATCTCCCTTCCATACCAGAGTTCTGTCGGAATGCATCTCGTCGTCCTTTTCGGCGCCATGTTCTCTGCGAAGACCGCCTGCTTAAGGTACCGAGGCCAGTTCCCGAGGTCATCTACCGCTAGCTTAGCAATTGTGTTTTTCAACATCCGGTGCCCCCTTTCTACAGGCGCGTTGGCCTCAGGATGATATGGCTCAATGATCTTGATAGGTACGCACAACGTCTTAAGCGTGCTTAACACCTCGTAGTTTACGAATTCCGTCCCATTATCCGCTATGAACCTTCGAATGAAGGGGTGCCTTAGGTAGAAGTCTTCTACCCAGTCGGCCGCTACCTTCCCCGTCTTTCTTTTAAGCGCCACTGCCTCTACGTAACCACTAAGGTTGTCTCTTGCATCCAAGATATACCTGTATCCGTCTGTTGATACGGGCATGACTGCGAGGTCAAGATGGATCAGATGTGCCGGCCCGAGCACCCGAGTAGGTCTAAGAGGCTCAAAGACACACGCGGAGCTCCTTTCTTGGAAGATTAGGCACGTTTGACAGTAAGTGGTCACCATACCTGCCATGTCGGGCCAGAAGTAAAGTGGCGCAATTTTTGCAAGGGTCCCTTTCGATGACCGGTGCCCTCCGGATAATCCATCATGCATTGCTTGTATTATGTCCAACTGCCTAGACCTTCCGCACACAACTCGCCTAGGTGTCATTCCTTCTTCCTTCTTGAACAGGTGGCCGTTCCTCAGGATATAGTTTTCGGCTTTCTCCCTTGCCTTGGGGCTGACTTCCACAGGCTGCTTGTTCCCTATAAGTAACAGGTCAATCTCTCGAAAGATGCCGTCATACATTCGGATGAGGAAAAATTATTGTCCATCTTGGTCCGTATCTCGCTTTTCCTGAGCCTGACTTACTAAATACTGCCGTTCCTTTTGTATTCAGGACTCCACTAGGCACATCACGGCGTCCCGACCTCCTTCAACGGCCATCGCCATCAGCTCCTCTTTTAGTCCCACTGTTGCCCCCCACGAATCCTTCTCATCTTTTCGTCTAATCATGGTGACTGACCCTTCCCTAAGTTCCGCAACTACGGCAGGCGCCCCTTTTTCCAGGGTCTGAATCAACAACTGTCCTGGTGTGCATGCGAGGTTCATCATCTCATTATCTATGACGAGGGTTCCTCCTTCGTATTCTAGGAAGGCGTCGATTGGTTCCGCGTCCTCTGTTCCTTCCGGCGTGATGCAGACCCGACTTAGCCCGTCTGCCCTGTTCCGAAGCCCCACAATTTGCTCGACATTGTAGTCGAACTGCTAGATAAAGCCTATCCATCTCCCAACGGTCAGGTTTATAGGCTTATAGTTCTTTAATGCCCCGACGACATTGGTCGGATTGATTCTCCAGATAAACTGTCTTCCGAATAGGTATGCCTGAAAGGTCTTAAGGCAATGTAGAATGGCTAAGACCTCTTTCTTGAACTGGGAGTATCGTCGTTCTGCAGAATTCAGGGTCCTACTCTCGAATCTGATAGGCCTTTCTCTGCCCTCCTCGCTCCTTTGTATCAGAACTCCTCCTACCGCCAATGGTCCTCCATCTGTTTCCAGGATAAAGGGTCGTGCCACCTCGTCGTTGAAGCAGGGGGCTACCAAGGTGACTTGATCGGAGGACAGAATGTCTTTGAGGGTTTGAACCGCTGCTTCCTTGTCCTCGGTCCATTCCATAGTCCCTCCATCCCTAATTATCGCACGGGTGGGCTCGGCTATTTTGGCAGAGCCTTTGATAAAGATCCTCCAGAATCCGACCACCCCTAGGAAGACTTGTACTTCCGTTGTGGTGCGCAAGGGTGTTGGCCATTGAGAGATCTTATCCGTCTTTGTCGGGTCCGGCTTCCTCCCATAGGCCCCACAGCGAAACCCCAGTATGGTCACTTCTAGGACCGCCGGGATGCTCTTTGGTCCGCTCGCGGTGATGTTATACACCAGAAACCGCTGGAGTAGGTCCTTTATATCCTGTAGGTGATCCCAGACGAACTTTCGAACCCCCAGCTGGGCCTCTGACTCGTCTTTCTTCTGCGCGCCTTTTATGGGATTGTCGTCTATATACGGCTCACATTTTTTCGGGAACATGTCCCCAACTACCGCAAGCATCCTCCTCTGTGTTTCTGCCACGACATTTGTAAAACCCATAGGGGTCACTTGCATCTGCAGCTTCCCTACAGGGGTGTGCATGACGGTGTATGGTCTATCCCTAGCATCGAGCGGCAGTTGGTCCTAACCTGAATACAAATCTATCAAGGAGTAGATGCTCCGACCGGTGTGAGATTTTGCCACCAAATCAGCCTGTGGAAGCGATCCCGCGTCCCAGATTGTTACCGCATTCAGCTTTTGCAAGTCTTGGATCCATCTGAGCGCCTTGTTGGGCTTCCGAAAGACAAACCACTCGTTCGCGTAGGGGGATGCGGTAGGTTCGGCCACGAACGAATCTATCTTGGCTCTGAGCAGTTCCATAACCTCTGCTGCTATTCCGAACTCGTAGGCAGGCCCTTTGTCGTTCCAGCACTTATGTTCCACTGTGTGGATCCTAACGGGGGAAATTAGCTTTGCATCTAATCGACCTTTCTGATGGTCATTGAACGCAAATGCTAAGTGAAACTCCTGGCACGCTTTCCTTATCAGTTGGGTCTCTTCCACCGTTAGGAACCCATCTATCCCTATCTTCATGGTGTCAGCTACCTCATCGGGTATCCGATGCCCTTCCGCCGCTCGTCTCTCCCTTATTACCCGCAAGATTTCTTCCTCTTTCTCCATGGACTCCTCCCTTGATGTCTCCACTAGGATTGAGAACGGCTTGGCTTTCTTTCCTACTGGCTTGTACTTTCGAACACTTCCTTCTGGGATCGTTCTTCTAAAAAATGAACGGTCGGGATCGGCCTTGCTACTTCCGCGACACGGGGTTGAATACTTACTATCTTCTCGTTCAGACAGTAGCCCTTTCGGACCTCATCCTCGAATTTGGCAAGTGCTACCGGGTCCACTCCTACTTTGTGGTACTTGATAACCGTAATAAGTTGCAACAGGTTCGGAACTTCGAGCGTTACTTCCGGCGTTTCCTTCCGACACTCCTTCGGTTTAGGCAGACTGGCCCCGAGTTCAACTTTCGGCTCCTTTTCTGCCACCATGACCCCTAGAATCTCATATTCTTGCCTCCTTTTCTTCAGAGGTAGGCCCATCTTGATCCATTCCTTTTTGCTAAAGGCCTCTTCTATCATGATTTCCACTCTTTCTCTCATACCTTTCATCCGGGCAAATGCTCCTTTTCGCGCACTATCTTCGAATGTTGGTGACCAAGTTGCCAATTTCCCCTTCGGAGGGTCCCCTCCGGTCCCAAGGAGTCGGAGGAGCTCTCCCCCGCCGGTTACGGGATCCTCTATGTCTACCATGTACGTGCCATCGTGCAGGTGCATGCCTATCATTTCTACGTCGGCACACCATGGTCTCTCGAGGATTATGTCATGGTCCATTTCTTCCATCACATTCATCCGCTGAAATGACCAGATCGACTCTCTGATTCCTGCCTTAACTGCACATTTGGTGACATACCCTGCAAAGGGAATCTCCCCGCCGGCTCCCCGGATACTCTCCCTGTCACTTCCTTGTTTACCGCACAACCCGTAATCGTTGCGAAGTCTCTTCGTATGAAGGTAATTTCGGCTCCTCCGTCCACTAATGCGTCTGTGTGGTGAGTCCCGATCTGGACTTTCAATTTTCCTACAGGTAGTGCATGGAAGTTGAGCTTCGTTCCAGGAGGTGCCCTCATGACCTCGCCGCCCTCTCGGTCAGGTAGGCTTAAGTGGATGTCTGCAAAGGCCTTTTCCAGGTCTTCCATATCTCCTGGGATCCTCTGGAGGTTGGCGACCCCTTGTGGTGCCTCTGCCTCCTCTGTTTCCTGTTCCTATGGTTCCGGAGCCTCTTCTACCTCTATGCATCGACGCGTTAGCAATTGTCTGAGTCCTTTAAACAATCTCGGACTTGCTTGCAGCATGGTCTGAAAGGATACAGATACCATGGTACCTCGCAATTTGCTCAGGGTGTCGTCGATTTCTGGCATGGTCAAGATCGGGATTTGGTACTTGAACTTCTTCTTTGCCGCTGTGGTTTTGTCTATCGACTCTTCCTCCCTTGTTTTCCCGTAGACTTTTTCCAGCTCCCCGGTCTCGGGCTCGCCTTGATTTGCGCTGGTTCCCGCAACCTCCTCCATTACCATATCTCGAATAAGTTTTCTTTCCGCCCCTGCTCGCCGGGTGGTGATGTTCACCCTATCCTGCCCATTACTCTCTAGGATGAAATTGACTTGTGGTCCGCGACCCCGCGGCTGATCCCAAACAATGTCGGCTACGAGCTCGGCTTCTACGGCGGCTATATCCAGGTTATTCAGGATGATGACGGCACGCCGCATCCCACCTAGCGAATTTCAGTTTATTCGCTCCCCCTAGGGTCCGAAAATTTCGCCTTTAAGGGACCTGTTGCATCTCTGTCGCATAATATCGTGGTTGAGTTTTGGGCAGGTCCGCACAAAGTGACCGATCATCGTGCAATATCAGCACTGCTCATTTGCCGGATCCTTCCTACCGTATCCTCGGTTGGCTACTGCTGCCGATACTACGGCCTCTTGGGGCGGGAGGGTGGGGCGGGAAACTTGCGCCTGCATTACCAATAGTGCATTCTCTACTTTTTTTATCTTATTATTGACCCCGTGCACCCGTTCGTGCAGGTTTTTTATTCCCTTCTTCACCTTGTCTCCCGTCTTTCCGGTCAAGTCTATGACCTCTCCCTCCTTAAGCAAAGCTAACGTCTCGGTTACCACCGTCTTCTCCGCGAGGTCTGTTACCAACCTGAAGTCTACATCCCTCGTGTATTCAAACTTGCTGGTATGTTGATAGGCCGACAAAATCTTATCCTTGTCGAACTCGGAGAACTGTCTAAGGAAATACTTGCTCATGGTCCGATTCGTTACCCCGGGAATTCGTAACACTACTAGGGTAAACGCTCTCAGGAAGTCGTTGTAAGTCGCATAGTTCTTCCTTTGTACGGCTTCCAGTTCAGCTTCTGTTGCCATTTCTCCGCCTTTAAATACTTCCTCATCATTCTATTTCGGGTCTCTTTCCAGGATCCGCAGGCGGCAACGATGACCATAATGTCCCTTCCTAAGCTCAGTGACACATGTTGCCCTAAGTGGTCCATCTTTTCTTCCTCGCTCCATTTCAACAGGGCTGCTAGATTCTCGTAGTCTATCAGGAATTCGGTGATGTTCGCCCCATCAAAGGTGAGTTTCTTCTTGGCATCCGCGAGGTAGCCCTGATTTTTGTTCAATGCCCGAGTGAGAGTGGATACTATTTTCTTGAGCCCGCCCTCGGAGCTACCTGTTTCACCAGCCGTAATAGTCCCTTCTTCTTCCTTGCTATCCTTCCGCTTTTCTCCGGTTGTTGCTATTCCCTCCGGATCAAACCACCCTAACACCCTTTCTCTCAGACCCCAAGTCCGTCACACCCCTTCATTACTTTTGGCGCGGCGAGCAAGCGGTTGGCACCACTGTCTATGGCAGGTGCTTTTATAACTTTTTCCGCTTCTACAACCGGGGCGTCCCCCTTCTCCTTCCCTTTCTTGCTATGCGTCCCCCTATGGCTACTATCCTTCCCTCCGTGCCTGATTTCGCCCTGGCTAGTCTTGCGCTCCTTTCGTAGCTCCTCTCCCGGAAGGTCCCTCTCGTTCCCAGCCATCATCTCTTCAATAAGTCTCGCCTTATACTACGCGGTTCGCTTCTCTATTTCCGCCAGCTTACGTCGGGCATCCGAGACTTTCGCTTTCTTGACTATGATCCCATCTGAGTTTCACGGACTTGACCTTTCCTTGTCCCTTCCTTCCTTATTCTCCTGAGATCCTCGTTTACTTCCCCCGGCCTTTCCCCCGTCGAGAGATCCTTCCCGTCTTCCTTGGTTCCCTCCGGATTTGCTGATTCTCGGTCCCTTATTGACCCTTTGTTCCTTTCCACGCCCCTCTCTGTACCCTGACTTCCCTTGCTCCGCAGATTCCCAGCCTCTTCTTTCGACGCCATCTTTTCCTAGCCCCGCACACGGAATTTTTTTTTTTTTGCGAAACGGTCGGTCGTTCACAGCTTCCCCAGTTCCCAGGTCCTAAGGTCCTTTTCTTTGTTGTTTCCATATTTTCTCGTCTCATCTCAGCTGTGACGGCTTATCTGCCGTTTTCTTATTCAGCAGGGCGCAACTTTCCTCTCCTCTGCCGGAAGGCTCGCTGCCGGGGTTCGGCGTTTTATCACTGTCATGCCTCGGTTTTAAGGCGCTATCCCGGGTTGGCGACTCTCTACTCGAAGATGGCTCCTTTTGCCTTCCCGACTCTCGGATACCCTCAGTGTCCTTAGCGGTGGTGGCCTTCCCGGTCCCTTCTTGCCGTGTTCTCAGGTAGAATAGGACTCCGACCACTACCTTTCGTTAGATGGCTAATCCCTCGTTTTAATTTCCAGCTCTTACTTTCGCTGCCGTTTTCCCGGTACTTTCTCACGCCGGTCCCTCATGCCTGTCCTGTTACTCAGACTCTTCGAACAGGTTAGCCACCCCCGCAAGGTAGTTTTCTCCCATTTCTATATCTCTGATAATTATTGGTTCATACTCCTCAAACGCCAAGCGTGGTAACCCGAATATCAGGATTTCGATGAGTTCGAGTAGTTCACGGGCCTGATTTCCCCAAAACGACCTGTGCCTGACACATCGTAAAACATTCCCGTCGTCTGTGGCTGGAAGTGGTGGATCCAGACTAAGGTCGAGTCCACCAAGTCTCTTGCCCTCGAGAGGCTGCCGAATACTAGGTCCACCATAAAACGGGGCACTCGGCACCACAATCCTGTCATCGGGGCCCTAAACTCTCGCCATCCTCCTACCTCCACCCGAGTTCTCAGTCCTACATTCCTTCTCCCCCGAATCTCGTGGCCTATCCGGTTCACTATCCTGGCAGCCCTTCGGAATATTGGCAGCAACCCATGTCCTAGTGCCATCTCGGTTCCTAGCATGTGCCACCCAATCTTCGATAGGTATACGGTCCCCGTCACCCTCAATTCAGCATATAGGTCGTCCCCTGGTCCCCTATTGAACCTCATACCTCTCCATAAACATTCTACCATCATGAAGGCTTGGTCCCTCCCCAAGGTCACAACTCTCCATTCCGTGTGAATCCCTCGAACCAAGTAGCTTGCAGGAAGTGACACTTCCCATCCGTCCCCGCTTTCCGTGGGTGGCCGAGGGTGCGTGGGTCGTCGCAACATCCGGGCGCGCCTCATTGCCATTGCTGGTTAGCGGTTCCCTGCACAATTTAAACAGCAAGCGAGCTTTGCTTATTCTCATATATTCCTTCGACCATCACCTGGGCGATTCCCTGACCCTTAACTCACCTTCCTTTTCTTCCTTATTCCTGTTTTTTTTCCTTCCTCCTTTTATTGACCCGCCTCCACTTCTGACAGGTCGTTCAAGTGGTACAGATTGTCTACGTCACTCAACTCCGGGTTAATTTCCCTTCGGACGACGCCCCATAGGACTTCATCGTGAACAACCGGAACTCTAGGCCTGGTGGTAAGTACGGCGCACAAGATTCGCAGTACCTCATACCTCTGTTCACCGCTGAATGGTCCCATTTCTAAGAAGTCCCGGTAATATTCCCGGTGGACCATTGCTTCCTCAAACGTCAGGTTGGCGAGGTCGGTCACTGCCCACCTAACAAGCTCCAGCCTGCCCAGCCTTTCTAGTAAGAAGGGCAGCAACCTCATTCGGACGTTTTCGCTAGGCATATTAAAACTCCCGGCCATAGCCACCCTAAGGTTTGTTGTTACATCGCCGGACTCTGGGTCAGCGAACTCGACTCCTGCCTGCCACACTAGCTGCCATGCTCCCTCGAACATGCTTACCGGATCTTCTTCTGATGCTAGTAGGACTCCGAATGCACGCCATCCATCCTTCGACACATACAACCACCCCTCCGTGCGCACATGTCCCCGTGGGTCCGGATTCCATTAGCCATTCTCATCCGCCCGCCACACAACCTTGGTCACCAGGTAAACCGTATTTTCCATAAGCTCGACCCCGACCCAATCCACCACTGGCTGTCGGATCTCATTTGCGGTAGGTAGGCTGATTTCCGCACTATCTGTCACTTCCCTCGACGACTCAATTCCCAACGGGCGATTCCTCAAGGAACGTCCTCCTTCGTGCCATTGCACGTCCGCTACCCGCCTTCGATCTTTATCCCACGGTGCCGCAGCGATCCCTACAATAGTCGGACACCCCAATCCCCGCCTTAGTACTTCTATCCCTGGTTGGTTTGCATAAAATACATGTTCCCCTGTCTATGTCACCCCCTAACTTTTCCCCTTCCTTCTTCTTTTCTCCCTTTACCCCTTGTCTTACCCTGTTAGCTTGGGTTTTTCCCGCTCCTAGTCGAACCACAGTGCTTCGAATAATTTAAGCACATCATCCACATAGCAAGGTGTCGCTGCTACCTCTCGGCGGATTATGGCGTCCCTGATCTCTGGGGTCACTTCTAGCCGATCGTTCCTGTCTATGTCCAAAATGATGAGGACCTTCCAGGCTCTGTCACCGTGAAAGGGCCCAAATTTCAACGATGTTCTATAAAATTATTCCGTCAGCCATGCGCAATTCACGTGTACCCGCCTCATAGTGCTGGCCACTTCTGCGACGTGATCAAAACCCCCAAACCAGCCTGCCATGAACTCGGGTACCCACGTCTTAGTTCGTAGGCGGGGAGGTCTAAACTCCTTCCATCCCCCCATCACGACCCTATTGCAGACCACATCCCATCCTTTGTTGGCAAACCTCTCGCCTGTCTTTCGAGTCCTTGCCTCGGCATCCCCCAGAAGCCACATTGGATTCTGCCCTGCTGCGAGCGTCGTGCAAAACAAATGCCACCCTTGCTCCGAGAGGATGACCGCCCCGACTGATTCCACCTTTCCTTCCGCAATCTCCTCCCATCCTTCCTCTTCTCTTATCGGATTCCAGACCCGTTCTACCCATAGGTACGACAATTCCGGCACAATCTCAAATCCATCCCAGTCACACGTGGTCCCTCTCCACTCATTATCTGCTGGTATGGACATCTCTACCCCGCCTTCGACTCGTCTCGGCTCCCATCCTTTAAACGTGCAGTCCCTTAGCTGGAGTTCCTTGGCCATCCTTGATCCCCTGCACAGTCCCAATCCACCCATGTCATACAGCCCCGAGCCATCTCTTTCAGAAATCCCAATCCTCAATCTCTACCCCCTCTTCCTCATCCGAGTCGTCTTCGTCCTCCTCATACCACAAGTCCTGTACCCCTTCCAGAAACGTCTCCCCTATCGAAACATTCCTATACACTATCCTCGGGATGAACAGGCCGTCCGTACTAAGATGGTTTAGCATCGTGGCCAGTTCCCTTGCCCAATTCCCTTCGAACGTCCCCTTCTCGACAGACAGATGAAAGAAGTCTTGCCGGGCCCCTTGGTACAGCCCCAGACTTGCCATGGATCTAGATATCCGCACCAACCTGCTCCGGGTTGCGAAGACGGCGTCCACCATGAAGGGCGGCATGACATACCTCAAGGTCCTAAACGGTTTTCGTACGTTCCCTTTATCCCCAAGTTCCACCCGTACATCAATCACCTTCGTCACCATTTTCACCCGCTGGCACGCGGCCCACACCACTTCCTGCTCAGCCTCCTTGAATAACTTGTACGGGAGTAATCCTGAGACAAGCTCTATAATCATGGCGTTTTCCTT